TTGCCGAAAAAACCGGTGCCGGTAGCAACAAAAACTGCGGGGAACCATGCAAAAAACGCATTTTCGTACGGGCAGCCGTGCGTTGGCCAATTATTAAAAGGTGGCCCACGAATTTAAGTAAACATGTAAATCAGGCCCCCGTGTCGCCAAAGGTTGCCCATGCCTGTATTAGACATTTGCAGTTACCAAAACTCGCCTCGGCCCGGTCGCTACTAAGAGAGGCTCTCGTCTCTCTGTTAATATTATTTTCGGGCGTCACGTGTCGGAACTGCTTGGCACTTTGCCAGCGAGCGCTAGGTACCGTTACCTAGCCTTGGTGGCGGGGCAACGTGGTTGAAGGTTGGTAGTAGAAAGATGGCACGTGGTTGAGGGTGATGGTTGGTGGGTATTGAGATGTCGCTCTGGAAGCAGAGTTTGTGGGACAGAATAGAGAGAGGGGACAAGGGTACTAGTGGGAGTTCGAGACAAAAACTGCAGGTAGCAGCAAAGAGAAAAAGGCGACACAGCATCGCAAAGAAAAGTAAATTAAAACAAACCTGAGCTTATGAATCAATGCGAAATCAAAGAATCCGAAATTATGAATATAAGCAAAAGCAAACAAAAACAGAGCTTGTGCGAGTGAAAACTATCGTGCAAAAACTTGTCTTCAGTAAAGGGTTCCCTTATTTATGAAGCTGATGCCTTAGGTGAAGCTGGGGGCGAATAGGTTCGATTGGATTTACACAAGAATTTCACAAAATCCCTATGTGTTGCCTTCGGCGGCCTGCAACCTCTGCTTTTTTGTCTTCAAAATCTCACAGAAACAAAGCTGGCTTCAGCTCCCATGCATCCAGTTAACTCTTCTTTTTGCTCAGTTCATATCCTGCAGTGGAACTTATTCGTTCTCAGCTTTGCTTAAGTATCAGCTTTATAAGTGGGGAAGTCCGTTACTGACGTCGGTTTTTCATAGGACAATTTCCATCCACATGGGCCCAGTTTTTTTTTTTTTTGCGTTTATCCACAGATTCAGATTTCTTTTTACTTTGCTTTTTATGCGTTTTTTGCATCTACGTAATGCAGAAAACGCATATTGACGAGGGATTGTCTGTGTGCCTGTGTGTCCATGTTGCGTCTGTCACGGTTTTTCATCTCAATACCTATAAAAGCTACAGGGCTGAAACGTTGGGAACTTAATCTACATGCACATACGGACCCCAGTCTCCAAAATGGGCAACCTTATTCGCGTAGTACCCACGTATGGACTCGCCAAAGTTTTTACGGGCAAGTTGCTAACTCGGGAACTAGAAATGTTGGAAAGCTGAAATTTTAAGGGGACGTTCCCCGTCCACGCAGGTATTAATGAGCTCAAACCCAGCCCCCGGGCACGCGTGGTACCCAAGTATGGGTCCGTCAAAGTTTTTATCGGGTAAGTCGCTAACCCGGGAACCTGAAAAGTTAGAAGACTGTAATTTTAAGGGAATGTCCCCCATCCACGTAGGTATTAATCAGCTCAAACCCAGATACGAGTATGCGTGACACCCACGTAGGGGTCCGTGAAAGTTTTTTACTGGTAATTTGCTAACTCGGAAACTTGAAAAGTTGGAAAACTGGAATTTTAAGGAGATGTTTTCTGACAGTCCTAACGGCCAGTCTCAATTCTTTTAGCTATATCTGCAGGGAAAACCAGTGACGTTAGCGTCAAAAATCTGCGAGGAACTATGTAAAAAACGCATCTTTGCACCGGCAGTTGATGCACTGGCATTTATTTTGCTTTTATTCATAAAGTCTTTGTAATTCTGGGTTGTATTTTTCTCTTTGCTGCTACCTCCAGTTCTTGCCTCCATCTCCTGGCTTATGTTCTCATTCCCCTTTTTTATCCTGTCCCCAAGCCATGCCCGCAAAGTAACATCGGAACTCCTCTCCATCCTCACTATAACAGTGCCCTAGAAGCAAGCGGTACTTCAGCGCTTTTCTGACTCGGGTATTCGCGGCAAAAACCAGGAGCTCACTTCCTCACCCTTTCTGTCCATCACCTCTACCTCTCACTCCTCCAAATTCGTACCAGTTTTTCATCTCGAGACAAAGCTGAAACTTTGGGAGCTTAATCTCCATGTATATACGGGCCCCATCTCCAAAATGGGCGCTCTTGTCAAGTGGTTTTCACATACGGGCCCGTCAAAGTTTCTGGCGGATGAGTCACTAACTCGGGAACCAGATAAATCAGAAAGCAGAAATTTTAAGGGAATGTTTCCCGTCCACGTACGGTCTAATGACTTCAAATTAGCCCACAAGTGTGCTTGGTTCTGCCCGTGAAAATATTTGCGGGTAAGGTTGCAAGCTCAGAAGCCTGAAAAGCTAAAAAGCTACGATTTTAAGGGGATGTTTCCCGCCCACGTAAACCTAGTGACTTTCCAATTCAGCCACCAGATATGCATGGTCCTCGCCTACGGGCCCATGAAAATTTTTAGCGAGTAAGTTGTTAATTCGGGAACCACCAAAATTAGGAGGGTGAAATTTTAAAAGGATGTTTTCTGAAAGTCCTGGTGGACAGTTTCAATCCTTTTAGCTAGAAGCATCTGTCAGGAAAAACAGTGCCATTAACGACAAAGACCTGCGGGGAACTATGCAAAATACACATTTTCGGATCGGAGTCGGGGTGCTGGTCAATTATTTTGCTTACATGGGGTTCTGGGCATCGCGTCCAAGACTACTAACCTTTCTTCAGCATCATATTTCAGAAGAGTGTAAAAGATCTATTACTGCACTCTCTCCCGTAAACATTTTCAATTCCAAGCAAGAACTCAGCTCCGTTTCAGGCAATAACTTGATCCCCTTCCTTGCTTATGACCCCGAGACCTAAACTACCATATCGGCCCATATCTCCTTCTTCTTTTCGCCTCCGCCTTTGCCCAAAAATCCATCACTTCCTGCTGGAGCTCGCGCTGTGCCTCTAAACGATCGGCTAGTGCAGTGATGGCTGTATGCGCCCGGCGTTGCTGTTGAGCAAATATCCCAAAAAAATTGATTATAAAGAAAACATTATTCGTCAAAGACAAAGGGAAGATAACAGTTTACTCTCCTGGACGGTTCGCATCCTCTTCTACCGCGACAAAGGTACCAACGAAAGGATGGACGAGCTGCAGGACAGTACAAATGCAAACTTAGATTTCTGCTCACAGCTCAAGGAAGGTTTGAAACAAACCCCGCGACAACATTTCCACTGTTGTTGCTGCTTCGTAAATGCGCTTGCTGGCATTGGTGCACTTGAAAACGGGATGAAGCCTGAAATGAAGTAAGCTGAAGCTACCTGTCTTGTATCTGGCAGCTTCCGAAGTGCCATTCGCATTTCGGCAATCACTCTTCGGACCGCAGCTTGAAATGCCCCAACGCAGTGACGTAAGACCATCTTGCCCTGGACCAATTCGTTTCATTCTTATTTGCTCTTCTTCGATAATCGTCATTAAAATGATTGCTCTCTCCTACGAATAATAATTGGCCAACACGCGGGCTGCCCGTGCGAAGATGCGTTTTTTGCATAGTTCCCCGCAGTTTTTGTTGCTACTGGCACCGGCTTTTTCAGCAAATGCTTCT